GATCCCGGTCAGTACCAGACTCCAGGTGTACTTGCAGCTGATTCAGCCACACACCTAAAGTCCTGGCCACGCATGTAATGGCCAGCCCAGGTTTAAATCCAGCACTCGCCGATTCCCATCCCTTTCTGAGCAAAGCCTCTGCCTTCCTATCCATCGGGTCCTTTAAAGCCCCCATGTCCTCAAATGATAAATCAGTCTTTTTAGAGACTTTTGACAAAGAGGCACCTATCTTCGGGCATTTATCCCACAGGCAAGGGAACCTGCGCTTGTGTCCAGCCGAAAAGAACATTCTTTTCTCTGGGTGCTCCCACTCCTCCTGGATCATGTCCGAGAGTGACTTGTGGACCGGGAAGGTACGCCCCTTCTTAGTCTGAAGACCTCTGTAAAGTTTATCATGCACTGACAGCTCAGTGGACTCTTCTTTAATACCCAGAGTATCCCCTATGGCTTTCAACAGTTCACCTGTTTCAAACGAAGGAAAAAAGGAAATTTTGTAGCTCTACTGCTATGCAACTCCCCTTCCGACTCATCCTGATCCTCTGACTCTCCGTGAGAGCCCGAGGATTCACTGGGCGCTTGCTTGCTTACGCAGCTTTCCACGTAGCCCATAGAACTACCTTCCCCCGATGTTACTGGTAAACTAGTATCCACTAGTGTACTCACTGGGTTCTGTAATGCAGACCTGAAAGATTGAAAAGTAGTAACCATTTCATCTCTCATAGAATCTAACAGCCCTTTGAACATCCCAGCTGCCTCTTTGGCAACTACTGTTTCTAAACAACCTTTGCATAAGGGTTTGGACCATGAAGCTGACATTTTGACATTGCAAGAGGCACACTTCTTCCCTTTTGGGTGAGAGCAGGCCGCTTCCGCAGGGGCTTATCCTCTGTGACTTTAACCTGTGTAAGACAATAGGGATGCCATTAGCCCATGCCCTTCCCAACATGCAATCCACGTTTAGCAAAACTCAACCCAGCTTGTCCTTTAAAGTAGGCCCCCAATACAAGCAGGGTAAAGGCGAATCCCCATAAAGAAACGCGCTTACCTTAGCGCCACGCTCTCCCAGATCTGGAGAAGCAGCACCCGGTCCGGCATCCGTGGGCATTTTCAGCTCACTGCCGACCACGCTATAGGCCCGCTCCTGACGTCCCCACCGCCCGTATGTGGTCCCGGTCGGTTTCAGAAGGTGTACAGCTGCAGTAGTCATGGCCGAGCGGCATCTGCTGTGCTGTGTCTGTAAACCAAGCCTCTGCCTCCCCTCTTTATGCGCCTACCAGCACGAGCCTGGCGTTCCGGAAATGGCACATCGGAACCGCGCCACCGTACGTGATGACGCGACGTGCACTGTAGATGGCGGCGGCGCTCCAATGTGACGTCACCCGCCATACTCCCGGCTCAACCAGAAGCCATGCCGCACAGCTGCCTCCACTCCTCCTCACGCTAGCCTGTACAAACACAGCTCTAGCAAGGAGCCCATAGACACTGCAGCCCTCCGCGCGAGGCATCACCCCCACGCCGCCGAGGGCCACCACCGACTTCACCCACCATCACTCTGGTAAGTGCCAGCCCATGCTTTTCTGCACTGCCGAGGTACCCGTTTACTGGATTCCTCTCCAGCCTCCCAGTACCCCCTCCGTGCCGTCCCTGTTCCAAAAGGGTGCGCATCGCTCAGGTGAAACACCTTACCACTGCTGTACACCGGGGGGGTCACCGTCTGGCGCCACTCACGTGCAGGAGGATGGTTGCCTTCCCTGAATGATGGAGGGGAACCTTGGCCAAGAATCGGATGGGGGTCCGATAGGGAAACCCTGTAGGCGCTGCAGCAGGCAACACCTGGAGTAGGTCCGAACGCATAACCAGGTTAGGCTCAGCCTTAAGGCAAATAAATTTGAGCCCTGAAAATAACAAACATTACCATGTCCCTGTGTAGCCGGAGGAAACACACAAAAAAAACTGAATTGGGATGGAAGGAGGGGTCTATTTATTTAAATGTGGTTGATGCGTTTCCTGTTGCAGGCAAGCGGAGCCTTATCTCATTGGCTGTCCTGGAAGATGACTTGGGAAAATGGCCTTTGTCACCATGTCTGAGGTGGGGAAAAATGTAAGGGACTTTTCACAACACTTAGCACAGTGATAAAGCTCTTTCCTACTTTTCACTGTTTATTAAACAGGTACATTGATACTACTCTGTATTTTTCACAGTGAAGAGAAAAGACTAGATTTTTAGTTCCTACCTGACTTATCACGGTTTATTAAACACCACTCGAGACTAGACTGTGGTGAGGTGAGAAAAGCCTTCTCACTGCTTATCACACTCTTTTCAGTTTATTAAACGTACACCCGAATTTGTTAGCCACTGATAAATCCATCCAACACCACCCCCTCCACAGGTTGACAATGCTGCTCCTCTGTAGATACAGTGGAGGATTGGGCATAACGCTCCTATGATGCATCAGTTTGTCAAAGGGAGCTAGTCATCAATGTTGAGTATTCTGATAGCGCACGGT